TCCATCTGTTGGACCAAGCTGACACAACGTAAAGTCATTCTTTCACCCAAAGGCAGCGCCAGTTCCGATACATGTAGCAAAGTTTGTAGATCGATCTTGCATGAAACTGCCAATGAGCTCTTAAAAATGCCGTATAAAATATCCTCAATCAAGCTTTCTAAAATTAGTGTTTAATTACGTTCCTCCATATCAAATGTCGAATTCGATTTGGATCATCGCTTCAAACTTGACCTCTGACGCCTATTGACTGATGCTCACAAAAGACTAAAACTATTGCGCTAATGCTCTTAGTATACTCTCAGCTGCTTTCAAGAGAATGGTTCAGTTTTTATTGCTAATATAAGCTAACAGATTTTTGATAGGCTTTGTTCACTTAAGAGTAGATCATCCACTGAAAACATGGGTAATAAGGAAACGTATGTTGAGATGTTTAAGTTAATTATTGCTGAATAACGTTGATCTATATGGAGACTCGATGCTAAATGCGTGCCTACAATCAACGATGAACCTTTAAAAAGAGAATGAAAAAACATAGGACAAAGTAAGCTTATAGTAAATCTGTTCTACGCTAACCAAAACATAGTGATGTCTTTCAGCAGGCATTGTCAACAGCATTCATTAATTAGTAATCAGTAATGCCTAATCGATGCTTCAAACATGACTGTTATAACTTTTATTCCTTTCTGATGTTTCTTTAAATATACTACTTCTAAGACGGTTTTTAAACAGCTTTACATTTAAACAAAATAGACGAAGGTTGCGTGTTAGTGCTCCAAAGATGTCTAATGAATTCACTAACTTCCTTTAAAATTTAATCCACGAGTACTTGTGGGTATCAATGCCTTGCAAATCGGAGTGACCCAGTCTAATGCTTCTTTAGGGGCAGGAAGAAAAGACGACACCTAGGACACACAATGAGATTGCTAATACAGGGTTAGGCTCTTAAGGAAGACCAAAACAAAGCTCAAGAAGTTGGCACTGTCTCTTAGGAATAGCTGTCTTTCACGTCAGGGCTTATACACCCATGAGCGTATGCTAGTCTAAGTTGGATGGCACCACGGAAGGCCTAAGGAACTTTCACGATCAGAATTACCCGTTCTGAATTCAATACAAGAAACCAACATGTGTAGACTTAAAAAGATAGCATAATTCAATTGGGAGGGATACAGGAAGGCCGCCCTGGGAACCTGTGTTTAGATTATTTATTATATCGTTTTATAATTTAAACTGGATTTGTGGTTTATAATGGCATCATTAAGGGTTTTATATGTGTTCAGCTTCCTCTTTTTGACAATTAGGAAGATCAACTCTATTTAACGTTGTCTACTTTTACCACTAATTAGAGAAAGGTTCAAAAGATCAGCTCAAATGTCAATATATGACGTAAAATAGCTAATGACATTCGTCAGCAGATTGCCATTTATGGTATCGCCTGATGCACTTTGGGAGATTTTTTAGGACAATGCCATACATGGTCGCAGACTGAAAAAGTATGGGGGATTTCCAAAACTTTAATTGATCAGAATGTACTATGCTTGAAGTTGCATATCAAAATGCTATGTCAAGAGTTTTGGGGTAAAGGAAATACCTTATAGGATCATTTGTCTATTTGAAATAATAAGCTGCCAAAAATTTTGAAGATGAATCAGATTGTTCAGATTTGTGAATATCTGGACATAAAAATTAAAACTAAATGATGAAACATGTCCTGTTACAAAAAATTGGGTGTTACGAAAGTAAATAATGAGTGTTTCATTATGTGCTTTCGAGTGCTTTGTTTTTCTCCAGGATTGAAGTCCCACTTTCTCATATAACAAACATCTTTCTAGTCTTTTTTCTGTTTTTTAATTTTGTTTTCTAGCGACAGTTAAGAATCTAACGCTACTAATATAGAACTTCAATGTATTATAATTTCAAATTAATGTCACTTTTGAAGAAATAGAGAAGAAACTTATTGTAGCAGAAATCAGAAAAGATCTTTCAACAAACTTCAAGGCATGACACCCACGGAAGATTAGTGACTCATTATTGCATAAAGTACGAGTTCACGCATTTTAGGGATTCAGGGAGGTGCTTTTCGAATCCGAGAGGAATTTCAGTGTCGCATTTGCACAATTCCGTTTACTCTCCGGCAACCCATACCTAAAGCATTGATCTGGATACGATGAATCACTATTGATCATGCCATAAAGAGATATGCAAGCACACGAAAAACATCACCCAGCACCAATGTGAGGTGAAAGCCCTTGACTCTAACTTGTTGCAAACACCATAGACAAGAGCTGATTCGAAAGCCATCAATCTCCAGACCTATTTAGCTAAAAACTTTACAAAAGTTCCCTGAATAGGGATATCTCATAGAAAATGCACAAATCTTAAGATTAAGGCAAGAGTTTTCTATGAAAATCATATGAATTTTATAAACCATTTTTAAGGGAGTTCTTACAAAAATTGATTTGAAACGTTTGAAAGCAATAATAACAGTTAAAGATTCTGGCAAATTTTCTTAATTCCATCCAGCAAAATCCTTTTTGTTGAATAAGTTAAGTTTTCAGCAAGCAAATTTATACGTGAATTTCCTTAACAAACCTATAAGCATGAAAATTTTGGCGAGTATTTGTTTATTAAATTTTTGAAACCGTCTTAGAAGTAGTACATTTAAAGAACCATCAGAATGAAGTAAGAGCTTCTAACCTCTTCAGAAAAAGCTTACAATATTTAACTCATCTTAATAATCAAAATGGAATTATTTCAGGGGTGACTTGATATATCCATAAACGAAGTATAGGCAAGATTTTACATCTAAGAATGATCTGAGCTTTTGCTGATTTCTCTAAACATTTTGTTTGTTTTTTTTCGATATGTTTTTGAAGGAGCAAGGGTGTATGCACGGGCGTGTCTTTGATTCCTGTTGTCGGTTCATGATTCACAAATACTGCTATATTTTGAGGAAGCAATTGCATTTCGCTTTTAAACCACATAGCCACGACAAGTGTTCCTTATGAACCGTTAACCACTGGTTAACGTCTGGACACAGCCTTTACAAACATATATCCCAGAGACTCATTAAAGTTTAACAGTGAATTCTGCGTAAATACCTTACAGGCTAGTGTAATAGTGAGACGATACGAATCTTGGTTGATCCCTTGATATCTTATAGACGGGATTAGAAATTTACCTGGTTTGGAAAAGCTTGACTTTGAAGCTCTCATAAACGAAAGGATCAATCTATCGACGATTAATTGGGGTTTCACAAGTATTTTCAACACGGTATGTCAAGTGTGGTCTAAACTTGTTCACTACTTTCTCGATGATACTAAAGTGGTTTCTCACATGGGTATTCTTTTCATGTCGGTGACATGAGCCAGTTTTCAATAAATTTCAGCTTGACCTCGTCACATAGGAGAGCCATTAATCGGCACTATTAAAGGTGACAAGTAAAACACACATTACCAAGATTGCTTCGAAGTATTCAGCGTTAACCAGTGTTACTGCTGACAAAAAGCGCTTTTCTCTTAATAGTATCGATAGCCGAAATTGGAAATCTTTAGATTTTAATAGGATTATGTATAAAACTTAAGATTCAACTTTATCATCATCTCCGATTAAAGGCGATGTCAGCCGTTTGATTTTTAGTGTTGTAAAAAACTGAGAAAATTGTCCCCGATGTTGTCCTCAAGAGGGGTTTTCTGTAATTTAAAATGTAAAATGTCAAAATTCGGCAAATTCTTTTAACATTCGGATTCCAGAAAAAAAGAAAAGCATTCAATTAAAAAGCCAGGAAAGTATCTAGGACTCTGTCGAATGTCAGCTGACTAAACGTAGCATCTTTTCAGAGGGGTCTTACAGGCCTATTTTCAGACGAGCATATTTTAGAGAATTGAAAGCTAATTCACTAAGAAGCGAAATAATCATATGACAATGGGTGAGAAAACCGATCCAAAATAATTCTACTGCCCTCGGATTTGCGTTTGAGATCGCAACGTCTTTGAGGACTTTGTAGACGATGAATACGAAAAGAAAAAATGAATATGTAAACCAAAAAATAACAAAAATCTGAAAGTTCACCATGAGATCCTCAGAATTCGGAGAGATAAGAAGAATTTATTGGGAAAATCCTCCAAATTGTAAGAGAACTCAGTTCCAGTTAGCTGTTTACGAGTTTTCTCAGAGAAAGAACTGTTTTCAAAGACAAAACGTTAAAGGGCTAAATTTGCAGCAGAAAGCGTCCTTCTTAAACTTAAATTGACTTTCACTGGGCGTAATGGAAATAAGTTTACGTATTTGTGTGAAATAAAAACAAACAGATATGCACAAGAATGTTGTTTATACGGCCAATTGAGTTCTCGATTGTTGCCTTGGAGTATTATCAAATAGCAACGTTTTAATAAACTCAAGTAAAATAGATTCGCAACCTCATGTCAAAACAAAACAACCATATCGACAGCAAAGGATTTTGGCTACCAAATGTAATGTTTTTCTATATGGGTTTTGATTCATGGGAGAATCGCTTAATTTTAATATACGTTTGTGACAAAGAATTCTCGAAAAACCGAGGGACGGAAAAACTGTTAAGATGATGCGGTTTTGTTAATTGCTAACATTCGTGTAAGGGCGGCATTAAGGAATTACATATATTTGAGCAGAGGAGAGTAACTGCAAACATAAGCCTCTTCTCGTACATTAGGGAAGTTCAGCGAAAAGCCACAAATAAACAAAACAAAAACCGATATGAAATTAATGAAACTCTACCAATGACAGTTTTGTACAATAAACAATAGACTAATATGAAAATAACTGTGATGGGCAGTGTGTAAACCAAGGATTTCCCATATTGGCAAATGAAAATCCAAACAAAACAGGTCCGAAAGAATAGCTTTGAAGCAGAAGGCAATTGGCCAGGCTTTTACCAAATTCAGCTTTGAATCGACATGTTGTAATACATAATCGTAAATTTTTCATTGATAAGTTGAAAAGATAAAAATTTAAATTTCACGTACCTAATGAAAGTAAGATCGCCTCTTCTGATGGTGCGTAAAGGAGTTCTGCAGCTCCGAATGCTCCGAGGTATTTCGCAACCAAATAGCCACTATTATTGTTAACACTCAAGAAAAGTATATAAGTCTCCCCAATCTCAACTGAAGACCAACAGCGTCTTCTGTCACCAAAACCAAGGGCTGATATGACAAGCTTTTCCCTTTCTTGGACTGAAGGGCTTCCCTTTGCAAGAAGCTCCTCTATTTTTGACCAGCCCTTTAAAATAGATAGTACTTCAAAGTTGGCACCGTACAGCCCCATTCGAGTATTTGGTATTGGAAACTTGTTGAGTGTCCTCGTTGACAAAACTACCTCTGCAACTGCAGCTCGATCCTCGATTGTATGAGGCTTCCATTTGTTATCAAGAAGAGTTATACAAGCTTGACAAGATACAACGGTAAACAGCAGTGCTATGACTTTGGTGCAAATCATCTTGCTATACTAAAAAGGGCACGGACTTCTGTCAGCACCCTGTCACTATCACGAAGCCAAGGTTTTATCGCGGTATATGATCCTGTAAACTTACCCTCGTGTAGTCTCAACCACTGTAGATCGAATAGAATTACTCGTAAGGTCGAGTGCACTTCTCAAGTCTTTACCAATATAGCTGGCATTAATCAAACGGCCTTCCGTGACACGGGTCGACAGCTCAGCTTCAACTTCTTCTCAATATCTTAGTCTGTTGAGTAGCATTTATGTCGGGCAAAAACTTCTTAAATATCACCGCTGGAGTCAGGGGGGCACTTACGTCGACTGCTTGTGTTGGTGGAGGCGCCTATGAAATGCATGCAACCGCACTATACGGGAAGTTGTAAAGGAGGTGTTGACACAACAAGGTAAAGCTTAGAAACATGAACCCAAGCTCGGCAGACGATCCTGACAGTTATAACCCCCAAAAGTAACAAATGGCCCTCTTCCGTCTTGACGTATTGGTTGCTTCAAAGATTTATTGGTACGGAACACACAGCAAATCCCCCTGTTCTGCAGCTAGAAATCGATGCAGTTATCGTCCATGAAACGGGGGTGACACAATGCTGTTATTTGGATTTCATTACTATGCCATTGACGTAGACATCCAATTTTTTCTTTCATTTCCAGAAAATGGAATCTGGGTGGAAAATCACAGCATACTTTCCACTGAGAATTGCCCAAAATACACGACAAAATCCCTTCATATAGCAACAGTTCAGATTTTCCTCTGTCTTTAAAATTAGAAATTAATTTTCTTTAAGGAATTAATCTGGGATTTTCTCTGAACCTTGTGAAAATGCGGTCGAATTTTTCATCCTATCCCTTATGTAATATTGACATTATTCCAAACTCAATCAAACAAGTTGCCGTACTCTTTCTTATGTCCGCGGTCTTAGACAGTTTGTAGTGTATCAACGAATTTATCAGAATACAAAAGTTTGTGAAACAAATTATTGACATTCACCTTCGAAAGGTTTTTTATCCCACAGTCGAACTCCAACGGGATTCTCATCTCTTATTCAAAAGCGAATAAAATATAATTCGAATCCAACGGCGCGACTTCAGGGGACACTGGACTTGCTCGTTTTCAGATCAGCTTACACAGTTCGTCAGCAAGCGATACAATCTCTCACTTTGCTAATCCGCAAACTTTTACGACGGATTTCGTTGGATTTTGCAAGCTAAACTGTCATTAAACCAAAGGCCCATTCAGTTCCGTGCCGCAATTCTTGGTTTCTTATGCCAAATATCCACAGTTCCACTCACCTAAATTGCAATAATTGTGCCAGTTCTCTTGACATCAATAGGCCTATTGCCCTCCTCTCTTACTACATAATATTATATATAATATTTTAAACGCATTAAGACGGTTAGATGCGAGAACTGTACATCGATGTTTGCATTACAGTCTAAACTTACCATAAACATTAATTAATGGCTGCTATCTGAAGTTTAATGGAATAATTATCGAAAAGTACCAATTTGTGGCTTAATCTGTCACCTTTACCTGCAAAAAAATGTTTTAGAACTGCATTTTTTGCTATTGCATAAGGAGTTCAAGATAAGTACTGAAAGTCGCTGAAATCATCCATGAGATAACTTTGCTCGATCACACTCATATGTAGCTGAAAAACAAATACTAAATCCTACTAGCTTTTTGTCAAAAACTCTTTCGGAAGAAGCTAGAGATCAACTGAAGTTCGAATATCATTTTTGCTTTTAGATTTAATACCATAGTTCATGATACAGAAATCAATAATCAGAAAATGATAATACTTTATTGTTACTTTACGAAAATATAATGATATGCTAAATAGTAAAATTTGATGGGTTGAGACAAGAGACTTGAAAAACTGTTACCACCATCATGGTTCTCAAACCCTCATCTTATAAAACATCTCATAGAGCGTTTCTTATAAAAGAACAAGCGTCTCGTAAAAATCATTAAAGGTTAAAATGTTTGCAATAATAAGCTTCAGAAGATAATTCTAGCTCCTTGATTTTATATATTGAATAGCTTTTACCTTGTCAGTATTTTCATTGAATTTATTCTGCAATCTGAAAAATGCACCTGAAGGTTGCTTGAAAAAGTTTTCTTTGGTTCGTGTTTAGAAGGCAGCTGACCCCAGTCCAGAAAAACAATAATTAGAAGAATTCAAGCGCGGAAATTTGAAGATCTTCCCGCTTCTCCGCGTATCCGCGTCTCCGCTTCTCCATTTGGTTCGCTATTTAAGCGCTCGGTCAAATTTCGATCAAACAGCCCCCTGGTCATCTTTTCCCGACCATGATGCACTGTAACTGTTATGTCTCTAGCTAGATTCAACTGGAGTATAACAACAGCAACAACAATAAAGACTGTGAAACGTACAACAACAGCAATAATAGCATGTCTCTTTAGTTACAAACATAAAAGGAAGCTACAAACAAATATTCAACAGACACTGGGAATTAAATCCTTTTTTATATCAGATTTAATAAAAGATCATTTTTCTGAAAATATTTTTAGGGGCAGGTTTTTTAATGCATTCCTAAGATTGAAACAAATACAATTCGTAGTAAAGTTCTGCTTTCTGGGCTCACATACAAATGTTCCGATTTAGTTTTAACAATGGAATTCATTTATCATTGGAAAATGATGGCTAGTGATAGCATCCTTGATTCGCGAAGGTGGATCAAAGGTAAAGCTAGAACTCCTAAAACAATTAAGAAAGGAGATGTATAGAAATACTCAAATGTAAAAAAGGAATGTTGTAAGCATGTATATAACCCTTGACATGTAGTTTTTGGAAGAAAGATGTTTACTAGATAGTCCCAGAATTACAAACTTTTATTTTAACAGGACCCTTATTTTCTCATTTTCTGTCAATAAATGCAGGGAAGTCACAGGGACCTGAACCTTTTACTTTACAAACTTTTATTTTAACAGGACCCTTAGTGAAAGCAGTATTATCTTGACTGAAAAGGCTATCCTGTATAAATATGGTAGATTATTATTATTACTATTATTATTTTTATTGTTTTTATTATTATTAAAATGATTAGATGTTTATAAAATTGTAAAAAGTGAGGGGCAATTCAGTCTTGCAAATAGCAACCGAGATTTTCACAAAAATAAAAGGATTTGAAAGGATATAAAGATAAAACAATAGGATTTCCACCGAAGAAGATATTCATGGACTGATTTGCCAATCGGTACAAAACCTTTATCAAAAAAATGATTTTGGTTTATACTTTTTCGGAGTCAGGTGTTAAAAGTCCTTTTAACACATTCTTGTTTTTTATTTGCTTTAGCTGAAGGTGAAGAAAATTTATCATAATGGTATGTTGCTTTATTACCTTCCTAGTAATGCTTGGTGCTTGATTTATTTGCTTTCAAACAAGAAATCACAATCCAGTTACTCCCCGTGGAGACTCCATTAGTGGATTGCTGGGCTCATGAATTGAAACATGACTACAACACTTTTTAGCTACAGTTGCCATCAGACTACAGGTGAGCTGCAGAGCAAACATGTTTTGCAAAGAACGAACGATTAACGAGATAGAAATGGATTTAGTAATCAAAGATAAACAAACCCACCAAAGCCTATGAAATTTTGTATACACCACTCAATCAAAATGTAATCTGTACATATGGGGAATGACTTTTGCGCTCAGCTTTGCTTTGTTGCAAATATCCCTGGTGCTTCAGATCCAGTTAACAGAACAATACGCAGGGTCTATTACGTAAAAAGGCAACAAGGACGAGTGATAAGAAAAGAAGTAATCGCTTCTTGATTACATGCTTCAATTAAAAAACAAAACAATGCCGAACAACCACCTTATGGCTTTACGAACAACCATAAGTTTCATTTCTCTCAAGGTGGTACTTTATTAGAGAGTGTGTACAAACGTTCTCAGAGAGTACAATCCCTCTAATAAAATTGCCTTGGTAACTTTAAGTTGTCTTGGTATTTTGTCAGAAGTCTTAGAAAATATCAATTAGTGGTAGAGTAAAGGATGACAGGCCTTTTGTAACAAAAACACCGGCAAAAATGGATTGACAGTAATACAACACAACATAAATCGATTGTATCATTTTGAGATTAGAAATCTTCCAATAATTAAAATCTATGAGCCATATTTTGACGCTTTGAATCGTGTTAAAATTGGCCTGTTTTTCGGGACCAGTGGTACTAGAGAATGTAAGAGCGACTCCGCCTCTTCCATTATATCCAGTTATAAGTCGCGATGTTTTTGCAATAATTAAATATTGAGAGTAAAACGAGATGGCTATATGATTCTTTAAAACTGAGGTAAATATCATGAATTTTAAAAAAATTGGAAACTAGGTCAACAGTAGGCAATTTCTGTAGTGTATGTATGAAGTAGCTATATTACTTTGCAAAACACATCTTTTATACCTAAAATGTTTTCAAACATTAAATTTTTATCTTTTCCTTTCTTGAAGATATTGCCGAAGCTACTTACAATGAGTTTGGAGTTTTTTGGATCGTAGTTGTCCAGACCTGATCAATTTTAAATGTGTTTAAGTATGCTTCGTGTTCATTTCTAGATTCCTTACCACAAGTCTCATTTAGAAAAGTTCACACAGAGAATAGTTTATGCAATATTTTTAAGCTTCTTTTTTAATCAATTGCTGCATTCTTTGTCTTCAAAAAGTTACATTGTTGCAATTAATTGCCCAAATATTTTGTAAGCCCATCCTTAAAATTTCTTAAGCTGCTTTGTTTATAGCTAACCAGTTCACATTTATGGTAAAAATTGATAATCGTATTTGGCATAAAAATAAACGATTTTCATTTGCGTTCGTTGCAGACAACCTTACTGGCTCTCTTTCAGCATGATCTTTAATCGTTACATTTGATTCAACAAGCAATCAGCTAATTTTCCATCAGGGCTGGGGTCGGATCGATTTTAATTTTAAGGTCTCGTCGAAGAAGCTATAAGAAAAAATACATGCTTCATTTTGCTTCAAATAAAAAAACATGACTTAATTTATAGTCATGCATCATTCATGTAGTTGTTAAGTAGAATTTTACAGTTAACAGGTAATGTTTATCTCTACTTATAACTTTCTACTTTTCGCAGATCGATTACGTAATCGTTCATTCAATTATGTAATAAATCAAGTAACAATTGTACCACTCTTGTTGTCAGAGTTTGGATTTTATTTTTATTTCCTTAAGTTAAACCTCATGCCCCACATGAATAAATAGATGTTTTCTGACGTTGTTGGTGATGATGTTTTTCTTGCTATTTAATGAGGCACAGGAGTTAGGATGATGTCCGAGAAATACTGACCACATTTTCTACCACTTAAGATAAAATATTGCTCAGAATTGAGTGATAACGAGACCAGATTTGGACCATAATTTCTCACCAAGGAGGGTTGGTACCTATCCACGAGCAACATTTAGGACTAAAACTGATATGCAAAGCAACTTTGAGGACTAGTATCGATTCAAAATGCTCATTGAAAAAAGTGCAGCTATGATTGTACTTTGCAACCTGGCCCACCCATGGTCAGTGCCTTGTCTGGAAATCGTATATATCCCATCCAAATGAATAAATGGGTTCTGGCTTTCGTTCCATCAGATGACATTTCTTAGCGTTCAAATATCGTCAACAATATAATGATGATACATAGGCCGCCAATGCAGTACCTGAGGGGTGTGGAGATCCAATACCCCCATGTGCATGGAAAAGTCTACAGAAAAGACCATTCGAGTTAAATTGATATTTGCAATAATAATGTTTCCCGTTTGACGTTTCTGTAGTCAAATAGAAGGCGTGGGAACATCATCAAAATACATACGCTATATATACTAAAATGTTTCTTAACCGTTCTATATTTAGCAGTTACAGGATGTCAATATTAGCATTCTTCGGATGTATATTCTTGGTTTGTCATTTGGTGAAGTCAAAATTACCTTCCCATCAGATTTTAGTGAGTTCAGGCATTCTTTGATAATTTAATTTATTTGTTTATGGGCAGATATTGAAGGTGAAGCCATGTACGTAATACTGGTATGGCTTAGTGATTACGAGTATAGGAACAACTGTTGGTTATTTTAGATAATACGATTGCCCTTCAACAGCGAGAAGATAACCTAAAAATGGGTTTGGATCTACAAGACAACGGGTGATTGAAAAACAGGCGGAGGGTGATGGAATGATCGAGTAAGCTGATTGAATGAGCTCAGCGAGGCAATAAGAAAAGCGAAAAATGAGAGGAAAGAAGTAGTAATATCAACTGCATTCTGCTGCTTCGTTCAAAGAAACTAGTTTTTAATTCTATGAATTTCAAGTTTTGATTGCCTTAAGCCATAAGGTGTAATTCTGCGATATTCCTCCAGCAGAGTTTAGAGTTGAACAACACGATTCCCAATGGGACAACGTGTCGTTCGCGGGCAAAAAATGCATAACGTGCCTGCTCGTTGGCAGTATGAAGTCACACGTGGAAAATCGTGTGTTTTATGCAAGGGGAGTTCTTTTTGCATTAAACTTAAATTTTTTTGCATTAAAAAGGCATAGGCTTTATACTTTCGGCATAAGCGCTGTTTCTTCAAATTCACAAAATTCCTTACATGATTTGGGGAATCATGCCCTGCAGCTCAAATCTAATGAGAATAACTTTGTTGTAGAAGAACGTCGGCTATTTGGGGCCGCAAAGCTGATCTCTACATGTTGCTACCTACAATGCAATAATGCAGATCATCCCAGCCCTAAGTGGTATTTGCGGAGTCCTCGAATTGCATCATGGTTAATCGATCAGCATCGAATTGCATCAATGAAATGTAACAGGCCTCTTGTTTACGTGTCTCGTTTTCGTTCGCGAAGACCGTAATAGGAGAACACGATTCACTGCCTGAACTTTGTTGTGGAGGCAGGGATGTAAGGGTCATCCAAGTATAGGACATTTACCAATCAAGTTGCCCAAAAAAAACTTATTAAAACTTAACATTTATTTGTGGTTTAATTCAATAGGTTTATGAGGCGATTGAAGATGGCCTAGGATCAATTTGTATCGCTTATTTCCCACGTAGTCATTGGCGTTGCTGCAATGAAGATGGCCCAGAAGCTGTGCTAAACCAACACAAGTGACTTAAACAAATAAGCCCGACCTTCCCAGGACATGATTCGATTCAGTGAACTTTAATCACACGGCATATATGCTTCTGAAAGTTACAGCAGACAAAATAGCGATGA